TGTTAAATAATATTCTGCGGGATTACAATCGGATGGACATGGATGTTCTACTGAGGCAAAGAAATCCAATGCGCCAGCACGTTCACCGAAATAGATTTGTTTTCCATTGACTAATAAGCTAATCATATCGAGTGCGGAGTAAATCTCTGATGTGGGTTGATGAATAACAGTGATCATCGTTTTTCCTTCGTCTGTCAACTTTTTCATAATGTTTACGACTGATTTCGCCAAGTGTGAATCAAGCCCAGATGTTGGTTCATCGACAATCAATAATTTGGGATCATTCAATATCACACTTGCAAATGTCAAACGTTTCATTTCACCACCACTGATACCTTTTAATTTGCCTGGTACACCAATAATTGTATTTTGACATTTCTCCAAATCCATTGCCCACAATACTTCTTCAACACGTGCACGACGATCAGAATCACTTAATGACGATTTCATACGTAGCATGGCCTATATTTGGAACAAATAAAGTTGTTCTTATAATAAGTTACAAGTATAGACTTAGTTTACCTGAAATATCAAATGTTCCTTGACAGTCAGTGTTCCAATGAATAACTCGTATTGTTCAACATAACCACACTTTGTCATTAACAATTTATCTATTTCTAATGCATCAACTCCGTTCATATGTACCTTGCCTTCAACAGCCATGCCATGTCCTTGTCTACCACTCAAGATACTCAACAGCGTTGTTTTACCTATTCAAAATGAGTTAACCGCAGTCATGGCAAAGCATTTTGCTCACCTGCACCAGATGGACCAAGAATACCCAAAATTTTGCCTGGAATGGCATAGCCAGATACATTGTGTAACAGCTGTTTTTGTGTTGGCAATTCAGTATAATTCGGACGAAATTTTCTCTTTAATAGTTCACTAACGCCAGCTCTTCGCGATGAAGCTTTTAACTTCACATACGCCGATATGTTTTCCCAAGATAAATGTATCGAATCATCGGACGAAACCGAGGCCTCCTGTCCAAGATAAATCTCGTGTACGTTGGACTGTGATTTGATCAAGGGAGCTTTTTCACTATCTTGCTCGCTGAAAAAGTAAATTTCTGGTTGGACAAAAAGCCCAAGGAAAGAGGAGTAGAGCTACTTAGCTTTTATACTAATTGAAGCGTTATGAATTTTGAAGAGTAAAACAAGGCAGCCCGTAAGTCTAATCGTCACAACGCCAGTGCAAAGGTGCATCTGGATGTGTATTTGTATTTTCCGCACCTTTCGTGACTATTATCGTTGTGACTAGTAGCCTGACAACCTATTCGGATAGCTACTTATGATTCTGCTCATGTAGGCGATTTGCCGTACACCATTATTAGGTCCTAATTAGAAAATATCTATCTCTGTTTCTCGCTCTCTTTTTCTATTCTAGATATATATCTATCTGTCGGTAATTTCGACTTGAGCGTTAAAATCGTTTAGCTCAACTTTTAGCACACTCTCGATCTACAAAACGTTTTCTTTTTCAAAAGTCCTTTGAGTGCTCCACCTACTTGTTCTCACTAAACATGTGTTAGATACTACAGAAATAATTTCTCATATTCAATGAGGTATGCTATCTTACTTAAGAGAATTTTCTCCCTACTCTCTCATCAAGCCTAAGAATTGTAAACAGCCCTAGTGGACTAGTTTCAAATAAAAAATATTCGCAGACATCCGATCAACTGCTTAGAGCAGAAAAGAAATTCTGGCCGTGAATATCTTCAGAGGTGCACCCTCTCGCGAATGACTGTAACTATGAATATGGTTTGTATTATTTCATGTAGATTTCCTCATCAGATGTGAAACGTTTAATGTCTTCGAGAAACATGCTAATATCCCTCATCATTTATTTATGAATGGTAGGTTCCTATTAATAAACGAAACAAATTCTTCCTCAGAGTCCTAACTCTGAAGATGACTCGATCGATTCGAAGCTTAGTTTTACACATAAATAAAACAAAAATGAGTTTAACCACAATTTACAAGTTAAACGTTCTTTCTTTTTAATCGGATAATCTAGTTATTTCAAATTCACTCACATTTGCATATTCGTTGTGCAAATCCAATGATTGACTAATGAGCACAGCTAAACGAAACGAAGGATCAGAATGAAGCTATAATCCCTCTGACTATCACCAGTTTACCTGTTACGTGACTCTTAATTTTCTGTATATTCGAATATATTCATTGTTATTCTCTTACTCAAACCAAATATAATGTCACTACAAAATATAGCTGATGAAAAGATACCCTTGATCAACATGCAGAAACATTATATTTGATTTGAGTAAGAGAATAAGAATGAATATATTCGCAGATAGAGTAAGATGGAGTAGTTGTGGCCAGGGCTTCACAGATTGGCCGTATTTTTGGCATAGCCTGCTCAATTTTTATCGGAGAAAAAAGGTATTTCATAGGTAGATAGAGCTGTTCAATCAACTTCCTACGAATACCTGTCAGTTGATCATAATTACTCCATTTGAGATAGTTATGGTCAGTCAACCGTGCTTCATTGGGGTAATTATGATCAGTAAAGCAAAAATAGCAGGAATAAGTTTACACAACTTAGTATCAACAGGCGTTTTGAGCGAAATAATTATAAAATTATATGGTCTTGTAGAGAATTTCAGGCTCTGTCACTTGGAAAACGTTTCAAAATGTATTCCGGTCGGTCGGTCGCTATTCCTCTATTCCCAAATTATTTCTCTATTATAGAACTTAAATTTTTCTAATTTATTTTATTTTATTTTGTATAGTTCGGTTTCTTTGATTGTATTGTTGATACATACATCGGCATATATATACTTCCAATGTGTTCGTTTT